TTTACCATTATTAATTCATTTGGTGTGATTTTATTGCATTTTTTGCTTTACGTGATGAAATCCTACGTAAAAATGATTATTACGTGATGAAATTTTACGTAATGATTTACGTAAATGAAAAAAATCAAAATTTTTTTCATCATCAAAAATAATGATGTTTTTCATCACAGATTTTTTTCATTCATTTTGGTCCCTGTTTTTGACTCAAAGCTTTAGAGAATTTACTAATTTGTTAACTGGATCTCAATTTTTTGAAATACTTTGATCGAATCTCTAGTAATTTCAATTCCAATCCAGATCCAGAGCTCAATTCAATCTAGAGTCACCTCCACCAGCTAATTTTCTACATCAAATTATCATCACATAAAGTTGAATATTTCCCTACCCAATTTATATAATGCACACAAATTTACCTCATTACTTTATGCTATGTTCACATCATTACCGAAAGCATATCCACAAGTACAATATCTTTTCTTTTTACTCTACATTAAAACTTATTCTCTGTTCAGAAATCTACAAAAAGCAAATGTCATTAAAATTTCTCTTTCCATTCTTTCATCGCGAAAAAAAGTTTAATCAACTCTCATTAGACAGAAAGTAAATGAATGCTAACTTAATGACAAGAGTAATCACAACTTTTCATTCTAGCTTTCTTAATCTCGGATATGAATTTCGAGAGTCACTTGAGTCTGTCTGTCTCGTTGAGAATCATGTGAAATGTAAATGCGTCATCATTAAGGGAAATGTAAGTGGCGAAATTTAAAGAGCGTTTTTGAAGCTTTGTTGATACTTTGAAGAAGAGGTTACTAGAGAAAATTGAAGAATGTAAGAGGTAGGATCTCAGTTTAAAGAATGTTAACAGTTTTAAATGAGTTGGGATGTCATAGAGTTATTTAAATATGTTGGCTGATAGCTGGATATTTATTGCATACATGCGTGAATAACACTTTCTTGAAACACGGTTCTTTATTTCCACGAGAGAGACGTTGGAGTGATGGAAGTGGAGAGGCGTTGAGAAATCTCAGACATGATATGTATGAAATTTCAAGATGTAACGTATAAAGTGGAAAAAATTAAAGCAAAAAAGTCTGAGTTTTCGCAATTTGGTAGAGTCTTAAACTAATGATCATTATGGATCTTGTGCTATAGTCAACAGTAGCGAGAAAAAGTAAATCAAATGACTGGGACATGGAATCCGCATTGCAGTTAAGCTTCATATTTTGTTATGGCCCCTTAGGATTAATATTGTGTTTTCTTGAGGTTTTGGATGTTGTCTGGCAGTGCTTGAATCTTTGTGATTCAACCAACTTCATTTCAAAGAATCTTTAAAACTTTAAAAATTAATTCTACAAGTTCCGTTAGCATCTGCAAGATACTAAAGTATTCCTGAATATTAAATTTTCAAGAGTACTTCCACTGACATGTCTAAAATTAAATTTAATTTAGGTCAACGAGAAATTTTACTTTCCTGCTTTCAATTCATCCTTTATTCATAATAATAAAGCGCTGTTCCTGTCTCTTTTTATCTGCAGCTTAGATAACTTTTAAACTTCTTTAATTTCTCCATTCCTTGCTTTGTTGTTACGTTCCTTCTCATCTTGAAGTTAAAGCAAAAGTTTTACTTTTGTGCTTGTTCTACTCTCAATAAATGGAACATTTTTCTTTGTTGCTATATCATACCTTAACGATTCACTATGATTCCGTCATTATCTATTTACTTTGTGAAATTTTCATTTACATTAGTTTCTAGTTTATACTCTGTAAATATTTGTAGAGCAGGAATAAGTTCCCATGGCTTTTGAACTTTAACTTTATAAAGTTTAACATTGATTTTCTGTCAAGATCAGAAGCTTTTGCAATAGATAAATGATGAAACCTGGGAGAAATCCTTATGTATAAATTGATTATATTGTCTTTAGAATATAAAATGGCTGTCAGTTTCATAAATTGATATTTGTCAATCTTTAGAGTTCAGTAGCTATTACAATCCATAGATCAACTCTACCTTCGTTTGATTAAACCAAGATCAAACTGGTTTTCCTTGAATCTAATGAATTAGTTCCAATCTAAACTTAGATCTTGACAATATAAACAATGAATTGAGAATTTGCCATCTTCCAGATCCTAAAAGAACAGGTTACGGTTTTCAGAAACAAAATAAAAGTTTCCATTCCTTAAAGATTGAGAAAAATACAGTCAAAAATTCCTCAAACAAACTTCTCACTCCACATTTGACTTACTTTTACTTTTTGATGACAAGATTGAATACGGAAAGACTGAACAAACATATTTTTTTACCTGCGGATTTTTTTTTTGTGACCCACTCTTTTAACATGTGAATGCGAAGGAGCGAAAGGCTTTGTCATTGATTTTATTTCCACCTACACACGACTTAACGCACATACTGCCTTTATTCGTTTCCTATTTTTACATACATTCATATCTGTAAAAAAAAATGTAATGTTTACATAATGAAAAAAAGAAGGAAGTCAAACGAATTTCGTTTAACTTTCCATTGTTCAGATTCTTGGGTTGAATGTATGACTACATAAAATTTTATGAATGTAAAAAATAACATAAATCTAGCCATCGTAAAATTCTATTAACAATGTTGGAAAATGAAAAAAAAATTAATTTTTATACAGTAAAATATTCAATGACTCTTTTTGTAGCTTAAAGCTAATGCCATTGTCATTATTCATTGCTATAATTATATTCAGATGAATTGCTTGCTTTTCTTTTCATAAGAAAAATTTTAAAAGGGAAAAATGACAACAAAAGGTTTTTGTGAGAAATTAGAAGAAGATGTAAGCTTATTGTAGATGTATTCTTATGTCTTCTGTGCATGACATAGGGTTTAAGTTGCCATAAAAATCGATATTTTAGTGACAATGCTGTTATCAAATGTTTTGTAAATGTTGGCAACTGCTTTGTTCTGGATCTTGAATCATTGTTTTGTGAAGATGGGTTGTACTTGTTGAAATTTGATCTTTCTTTGGACGAACTATGTTTAGATTTATTAATATTCAATCTTTAAACCTGCGTCTGCGACTCAGAACTGCTAAAAACATTTATATTCTAACAATGTAATATCCAAACTTTAGAGATTATTGAAATTCATTCTAGTATAACCGCATGACTCACTAAAATAATTTGTCAAATAGTTCACAGCACCCAAAAAAGATCTAAAGAATCAGGTCATAGATGTAAACTTTTATGTCACCACAAATTTCAACCACTAAGTTCTGATTAAAGCTCAATACCAAACCACACATGATTTTATCTATTTTCTTGAATAGTAAAGCTTATAAGGTACATCCTTAACAATATTTCACATAGAAAACTTCGACAACTGTTCACTGGACGTAGCATAACAACAAGAAAAAAGAATCGTAAAACATTCAATTCCAATTTTATTTTTATCGCTTGTATCAATAGAAAATTAATACAACTGGTCATATAGCACAATGTGAAAATGGATTGAAACCATCATAAAGATAATAACAACCAGATATGGACCATTTCTAGAACAGCAAAGACAAAGAAATATTAAAGCATGCATTAAACACAAAAAAGAATTTCGACTTCATTGAATGAAAGAATTTTCATTATTTATTGATATTGCTGATTCCGTTGTGGCTGGAGATTTTTTTTTTGTTCTCGCAGATAGTTGATAGGCAGATTAATAGGATCGATAATTTCTTACACAGAATTACAGCACTAAAGAGTCAACATTTATGCAGGCGTGTTATTTTTTATGTTTAATGAGGAATTTCGCTGTAGTTCATTATTTACAATTTTATCGAACTTCTGAGTTGTTTTTCTATTGACGTGGCTGTTTACCTGCTTGGTATTTATTTTTAGTTTAATAATGTCAAAATCAGATGAAAGATTTGCAAGAAAAAGTTTATTTTTTGTTTTCTAAGCTTTTCTGTGGCTAATTGGTTAATGTGCTAAAGTTTTGATAATAAGTTCCGGATGTTGAGTTTAAGTTGGTCCGAGAACGTCCCAAAAGAAAAAGAAAATATTTAAAAACATTTGCAAACATGCTGTTTCTAATTAAAGATTCTAAAATGATCCAGATAATATCGATAAAGTGGCAGCATAGAGACAGTTGGAGTTTTCGCGTACTATATTGAAATACAAATTATTTAATAAACATCTGTGCAGCAAATGCGGAAATTCAAATGCGGTTTGCATCTGTACACTCGGTTGTTGTTAGCATCGTTCATGCCTTTGCTACATCGACAGTTCTCTATTTTATTATAGGTACTGTTTTAACAGATTAAGAGTAGATGGGTCTTATCGATAACAATTGATCTGTAAAGGCAGCACAGGAATGAAAGAATTAAGTAAGTCGTAAGGTTCTGAACTTTTTTGTCTTAGTCAGAATAATCAAAAACAAAATAGCACCATGTAGATTTCAACAAAATAAATGCGTCCAATGCAGGCAAAATTCCTGTACTATTCACTATCTTTACTTACAGTCAGTACCCGTATAACTCCATTAAATTTACAAATTTAATATACATTTTTTAACCATAAAGTCAAAGCAGCAAAACAACCGAGTAGAAAATAACACACACAAAAAAAAAGATAATGAAAAAAAGCAGAGAGAACTCCGCATATGTCTGTTATAGTAGCAACAAAGTAATATAATAGCCTGATTGTCATATGCCTGCGGCACACACTGAAAATGGAGAAGAAAAAAAGAAGGAAAAAAAATTTCCAAACATTGCTCAGTAAATTTTCTCCCTTTTTCATAATTACTTCACCTTTCCAGTAATAAAGTTGGAAATGAAATTTCATTCGGTACGGAATCTCAGAGCTCATTTTATTGTCGTGTGTTGTGTTGTGTGCTTGGTGAAAATTATCTGAGAGAATTTATTTATTTTTAAATGGTTTAGTGCTCGACTGGATTTATAGATACGTTGTTGTATGTTAGTGAAATTTGGGTAGATCCAGTAGACAATAATATTTAAAACTTCTTCCATCAAATGTATAATTACGGAAACGAACAACAGACGAAAACAACAAGTGTATTCAATGGATTCCATCAAGTAAAGTTTTATTCTTTCTTCTTATTTTACCTGCAATCTGACTGACTTTTACTGTCCTGCGCCTTATCTTGAACTTTCTTCAATTCTTCTTCTTTTATTGCTCCGATTATTGTGATTTTCAATGTCATTAAATGACAATATAAAGAGACAATTTTACACTTGCATATACATATGTGTGGCTGTGATAACAAAAGAGGTATTTTTGTTGGATACGCTTAGCATGTAAAATTTGAATGAATAATATCAGTGCGCAATTTGTAAGCATATATATGGAAATGTTGAACTTTATTTTTTATTGAGTTTTGGGAGTTTCTGAAGAATTAAGGAACAAGAACATTAATCAAGTGATAATTCTCAGTAATATATTGGAGACTTTAGATGAATTTTAAGAATAAAAACACAGAATTTAGAAGATTTCAAAAGGAATAATTGTTGAAACAATTGCTCAATAATCATTTAACTTTCCGGGAACGACAGAACATTAAATAATGAATGAAAAGATTCCAATAAATTGAATTCGATGAATTTACTTGAGTTGATTCTTGGAAATTCAGATTTTCAATTCATTTTGATGTTTGAAGGATTTTCATGGAATCCAGATTCATTGGAAACAATCAAAGTTCCTAAATCTAGCTTTTGTAAGCTATTTTGCAGCTATAGTAGAGATTTTTAGGAAAATTCGATTGATTTTAAGTGAATGAGCAATTCTTTGGATGAGTGGAATTTTAAAAACAATGAGCTTTCATAATCCAATGTCAATGTGTTTTGTGTCAATAAAATGTTTTCTTTAATTTCATATTACTGTGAAGGAATAATAAGCCAGAACTTTCGTAGATCATAAAGCATAATTATTTCTTTACAATTGATCTATTGAAATGTTCCAACTCACCCAAATTAAGTGAAAAATTGAAAAAATGTTTTAAAATTTTGTATTTTTTCACGGATTAAGACAAAAAAAAGCTTTTTTATCACTCGATGACACAAAGAAATTTTTCAAAGAATTGAAATATTCCATTAATTAATGACTTAAAGCACACAGAAAAGCAACCAAATTAAAGATTTTTTTTCTGTTCTATTACTCAGTAAAATTATTCAATGTGAATATCAATAGTTTTCTCTAATTTTCGATTCTTCGGATGATGAAAATTAAAAATTCCGATTTCTGTCATCGAGTTATTGACTAAAGAATCCAAATAACTTAATTAATACAGCGATTCGAAGTATATGATATCAAAAGAAGTGTACATTTTAGATTTTTACATCGATAAGAATCATAAAATCAGTGTCTCTGTTGGGAAAAATCGATAAAATTTCGATTTTTCGCTGAAAATTTTCCAAAAGTCATCCAAAGAATTGCCCGTATACGCCTTGAAAAAATGCTATACAATAAAATTTTAAATTCACAATCAAAAACTCAGAGGATAGCATCTCCTCAATCTCATCACAAAACAAGTATTCTGTCTGATTATCATTAAGAGTCATTCATCCCCAAAAATGATACAATCAACCCTCAAACTGAAATATTATAAAAACTTATTCCTATATCATTTTGATACAGCACAAAACCTCAAAAAAGTGGTTCATAACTCTCCTAAAATTCCATAACCAACCATAATTATCTCATTTATGACATCAGAATCCCACACAATTAATAATAATTTTTTATTGAACAATATCTATAGCTGTAACGACATAATGAGCTAATTATCCCATAAATTCCTATAGACAATGCCAAAATAAAGTTCAGTGTCAATTGCGAGAAATTCGTTAATTTTGATGTTTTGGCAAAATATAAAAATAGATTTGACTGAGGCAATAAAACAAGCTTATAAATTTGATGGGGTGTAGATGATTGTGATTGTTGGAGGTTTTATGGCAAAATTTTGTGGTGCTTTGAATAATTTTTTGGAATGAAATCGTGCAAATATAGTAGAAATTAATTTTGTTTGCAGGAACTAAGTCTTCAACTAGTTATATTCAGTTTAAGGGTTAATTTAAGGTTATGTGCTAAAATGGCACAAACGCAGTGTTTTTGCTGAATTGAAGATCATAAAGTATATCTTAACAAGCCTATCATTTGCATGTTGTCATTAAGGATATAGTAGCTTTTCATAAGATTCGAACATATGTTCACACATAAGTGAAATTTTGCAGTTTATTAAACTGCTTCCCTTCCCCTCAAGCCACATAAGCTGAAATCTTGTGAGTGTCATTAACCATGACATTTTTCTTACAAACTGACAATATTTTATTATCTTGCGACACCTCCTCCTACGCATTATATTTTTAAAACTCCTAGAAAAGGACTCGTAACAAGAACAAAAGTCCACAGCATCAGACAATAACCTCATTTATCAACATTACCACAATAAGCTCAAAAAAAGCCATTCATAAATCTATTTGACCAGCAAACACAGATTTTTTTTCCTTGCTGTTTGCTTTCTGTGACTATAAATTTAACACCATCTCGTCCCTGTGAAAATTTTAATCTTCAAACAAATGAGAAAAAATTGACGTGCTGAAAATAAATCGAAGCAGTTTAATCCAACCCACACGTATCCACTCGTCAACTCCAATTTATTTACATTTATGTCTTTTGTGTAAATTGTTATTTGAGAAATAATACAGACATAAAGTGACAAGAGATGGAATTTGCTTCCTTCGTACCTGTGTCGAAAAAAAAAATGAAAACATTTTAATATAAAAAATTTATTGGACTTTTCTGTTGCTCTTGACAGTCGAGAAAAAAAAACCCATTAATAATCGCACGACAAATAACGTCGCATTGGATACAAGCAATCCTCTGCATTTCATGATAAAATGATGTGAAATTTATTGCCAAAAAATGAATTCGTGATTTGAATACAATAAGAAGCAAAAATTGTTGAAATAAAATTTTATTTAAAAGGAACAAGTCGAGTTGCAAAATTCATGGGAAACTAATCTTGCGAAAAAAAAAAATATTTTGAGGCACAACATTGGAAATTTCATGCATTTCAATTTTAAAAATGATGAATTATAGCAAAGTGAGTTTTTGATCAAACATTTGGGCTTTACGCAGTTCAGTTCATGGAGATGCATGAATGGATGTATGAATAATTGAGAGATTTGTTCCTCAAATCGGACCTAAGTCATTACGGACTACTCATTAATGATAAGTTTATAGGATGACTTAGGTAGTCAAATTACCGAAATGTTAAAGTGTCTGACTGAAGCTCATTTCATTTAAATATGTAAATTTGAGAACAACTGTGTTCCTAAACTAAATGATTGCTCACCTCAGGCCTGTGAGGTAATACCAAATTTGTACAATTGCTTCAGAGCTGAGACATCACATTTAATTTGAAAATCACTTGATGCATTTCATTGCTATGCTCCATTTTATTCAAATCTGCTTAACATTTGAAGTTTTCTATCCAACATCAAGCTTTAAAGCTTCAATGTTAAAACATTATCATAAATTCATCAACCCAGCATCCAATCCACCCAGCCAAAATTAGAAAAGCAAACAAATTTCACTCGCAAACAGCACACGATAAACATTTCATGACCTGGAAAAAAAAAGTTGTGTTGAAGCTTTTACATTTCAAAAATGAATGGAGTATTAAAGGATTAACACGACTTGTATACAATTTTATGTTGGGTTGTATTAGTAAGTCCCGAACATAAAGCATTTCGCATAAAGTATGTAGCTAATAAATATCCCACAATTTTCCATTAATGATGATTAATAATAAATTTATTGATTTTTATGTTCAGCATGGAAAGTTCACGTCCCTAGGGAAAGTGAAATTACTCATTCATATTCACATGATAAATAAATTATCCGTGTTGTCTGCGTTATATTTATAGCTAATTGCTGTTTGTTAATAGCTTTTTAGTGACAACTACATTAATTATTTGTTTTGCATGGATTATCTTATCGCGAACTATGATTCTATGGGCAAAAAGTAATCCATTGTAAGTTGATTACTGTTAGATAAGGCTAAATGTTGTGAAGAGGCCAGATGTGTAGATTACAGTGGAAAAGAAAATAGTTTTGCCTATGTATTTTTTTCATTTTAATTGCACTTTATTGCATTTATTGACGACATACTGTCCGGTAATAATTCACATTTTACACTTTTGTATACATATGAATTAGTATTTATATAGGATCAAACTTCTAATCTTCATATCTAGGTTTCAAATAAACTAAGGCTCTCGTTTCGATCTTCTGTAGGCGTTACGTGATACTTTTCAGGTCCGTTCTATCAATATTCCATTCGTGGGTAATCTTGCAGCTCTCGTTCCTATTTCTCACGCTACACTCAAGTTTCTGACCCGTTCCTTAATCCAACGTTGCCCAAATGCCCAATTATGGCTTGATCTCGTACATTAAGCAGTCGAAGTATCTAAACATCCGAAAAAGAACAAATTTGGAAATGGCTGGATTCGAACCGACGACCTTCGAGTTACCATCCCAAATTTGAGCCAAGCGCCTTACCTATTCGACCAGCAAGGCACTTAACTGTTTATAATGGATCGTTCATAAATGATGTCTTTTAAACTTTGAAATCATTCAGATAACTTTAAACGGCTGCATAATCCAAGACTATCGCTTCCATTCAGCTTTCTCATTCCCAACAGCTTTTAAACAGAAATTTCACATAAACTTTTCAATTCACAAAATTTTCCAATTCGACGTTTTGTTATCAGAAGTGCACTGAAACATAAATACCCCCTTAAGCCCTTTAATCTTCCCCTTTTATGGATTAAAAATAAATTTCCTCGTACAAAAAATCAATACTCTTACATCCATTCAATTCTCATTTACCCGCATCAAGTATTTTTATTATTTTGTTTTGGTTAGCTTGCATGCTGTTTTAGACGTGGTCATAATATCGTCTTTGAAAACCCAAAAAAAGATGATGAAAGAGTAAAGCAAGTTCAAGTAGTCAAACAATTAATTAAGATTAAATTGAACATTAACCGTTGACCATTGTGAATTAATTTTAGCA